ACAAGGAAAAAGAAGGGGGCTATGGGGTCCCCTTGCCAGACCGATCGCTAAAAGGGGAACTGGGGGGCTATAAAGTCGTTCACTTGAACACAGGTGGTGGCATTGATGTGTAAAATTTTAATCCAACGTCGAAATGATGACCCGAAATTCATCTTTTCCAAACACCGGTTTAGGAAGAGTCAGTTGACATGATCGTATGTTTTTTTGAAGGCGATGAAGATGATCGCCACATTGGCTTTGCCCTGCCATGAGAGACTAAGGACTTGATTTACCAGAATAATATTCTCTTGAATATTCTTATTGGCTATGAATCTCGTTTGTGCTAGGTGGATAACGTCCTCTAAGACTACCGCCATCCAATTTGTCAAAGCCTTGACAAACATTTTGTCGACCACTTTGAGCAATGTAATGGGTTTGTAGTTTCCAAGATTCATCTTGTCCCCCTTTTTGTGTAGTAGTGACAACACCCCCTTTCCCACCACATCTCTCATTCCCCATACTTCCCAAACCCCCAGATAGAACTTCGATAGGTCGGGGCTAAACTCTAACCACATACTTTCCCAAATGGGAGGCCGTCAATTTTGGGTGTCTTCCCTTCCTCCATTTGGAGGAGTGTTGTCCAAACGTCCTCATTACCCGACGGTTTTTCCAAGCTCTCCCGCTGCTGCGGGGACAAACACCTGTCCATGGAGCCCAAGAAGTCCTCCAGATCTCGTCGTCATGCCACCCTGTCTGGGTCATGGATTTGTGAGGCGTACAATTGTTTGAAAAATGTCCTTGTGATTAGGGTGCAATGTGGTGTGTCTGTGGTGATGACCTCTTCACCCTTATTGGGGTCGAAGAGGGCTTCAATCACTTTCTGTCGGGCATAAGCAGTTGCCATGCTGAAGAAATGTGTGTCAATTGCAACTTCTTTGGTCAGATTAGTCATTTTTCCAGAGACTCTAATCCCTTGCCATCTATATTGTGCGAACTGCAATAGCCGATTTTTGAGTTGCTACATGGTCTCTATTTGATCCTGTGAAGTTGCTTGATTTTCCAGGTCGAAGTGCTCTTTGTGCAAGCCCATTTCCTGTCAATGTCACTGCGCTGCTCTGTCTTTAAAGAAATCTTTGCATTTTTTTGCAAGGAAAAGTAAGCCACTGTTAAACCATTCCTATTGTGAGTCAAAGTGCATTCTTGTTGACGCAAGAATTGCCACATGTTGCGAATGAGTTGGAGGAATTGTCGATCTTTTGGAAGTGATGTATTTAGCTTGAAGAAGTTGGGGCCCTGGTCAGACCTTTTGCGCATTGTTAGGATTATCCCGCAGGTCTTGTGGTCCAGTCCCGGGTATGGGCTGCGAGGAAGAATAGCAGCCCAACGTAGTGTGCCTTCCAGGTCTTTGGAGAGTAGGATTAGATTGATGTGAGATTTGGAGAGTCTCCCCGGGCTGTTGTCCCTTACGCATGTGAAAGTGCGATCGACAGGGTGGAGTCGTCGGATGGTATCGAAGAGGGAGAGAGAATTGCACAATTTTGCTATCGTCCACTCATCCTTTTCTGCGCCAGATGGGGGAGATGCTCACGGGTTCCACCTGTCCAGCCATCGGTCTGGGGCTGCATTAAAATCCCCCGCCACCACTATGGGGATCCCATCCGGTTCTCGGGTGGCCCTCCTCTCCCCCACCATATTGGGGGAATAGATGCATAGGATGTTGAGCAGTCTAAGCTCGAGCATCCCAAGTACCGATACAAATCACCCCTCATCTTCATCTGCAGTCCAGCGTACCATCTAAAACCTTGACTCGGGGGGTATCCATACCGCCACCCACGTCGATCCAGGCCTAGGGGCGTGGACCCACACGGCCTGATGGAGCCAGGCCATCTGTTCAGCCCTGTGGTGTTCGGGCCAGTCCTGTAGGTGGGTTTCCTGGATGCAAATCACATAAGTCCAACTCCTCCCTCCAATCCCCTTTAGCTGATCCCAAATGGCCTGACATTTTTCAAGGTTGTAGGTAGCCAGTCCATTCACATTGAGCGAGTGCCAGATTCCTACAGTATAGAGTTTTGATGTCTTGCATGTTTTTACATGTGGTGGGTATGCTACATCGGGGGGGGAGGGGGGGAGGTGGGGGTACAATGGTTGCCACTTCTTTAGATCCCATCTATCTAACGACAGGACCTTCTTGCAGAGGATGTTACACATACATTTGCACACGTCCTCATCAGACCAGAAATTACTGGCTTTGGCCCTTAGGCTCTATAGGCTAGCAGGGCCTTATAATTAAACCATCGCAAGTTTGTTGTCTTGTGGGTCTCGAACAAAGGAACAGATCGTTCCGCGCCATCTGCTGTTTGCACCCTTCCATCCTCATTGCCCCTTTTACCCCTAGTGCAAAATTTTTCGGGATGAGTTCCCCCGCCTGTCAGATGAAAACCCCGTCCCATTCCTTCCCCTCCTCTATATGGGCCGGATGTTCCCATCCTTGCAGCGTTACCCCCCCTCTGTCTCCCACCGGGGAGAGCCCAACCTCCCATACCCCGTCCTCCTTTCTCAGCGGGATCACCAACACACCTTTTTTGAAGAGGGGGAGCTTGAAGAGGCCCCGTTCGACGAGTTGTCGCAACTTCATTCTACACGAGACCAGTCCCTCCTCTGGTGGATCAATCATACTCTTACCTCCCTGCTGTCCCGTCCCCGAGTCGTGATGTTTGTGACAGTGCGGTGTCAGGGTGGGGCGGGGAGGGGAGGGGGAAATAATCTTGGCAACGTACCAAATGCGTTTAAACACCTCTGCCCACTTTCGATGGGTTGGGGGCCCTGTTGTCAGAGCAGTTCTCAACATCGGACTGTTGTTCA